TTTTCTTGTAAGGGGAGATGGAGGCTGTGTTTTGTTCTCTTTCAAACAGTACAGTGAACTTGTCACCCCATTTTCTTAGATGTCATCTCATGAGCAGTTCTGCTTCATGCATACCTTTACTCATTTTACCTCTCTACTCCCTTTGATTTCTGAAGCAGATTCTAAAAATAATGTCACCTATTTTAGAAGCGTTTTAGTGTATATCTCTAAAAGGTAAGACATTTGTGTTTTAAACAACAGAGTAATACAATTAGCCTTTTTTTAAAGCATGGAATTCGGGCCGGGGGGGGGTGGGGGGTGGTACCAGGGATCGAACTCAGGTCCTTGCGCTTGCGGGGCAGGCATTGGAACCACTGAGCTAAATCCCCAGCCCCAAAGCATGGAATTCTTAATACATTAAACTATTGATGTTTAGATTTCTAATTATTTCATAAATGCTAGATTTTTAGAAGTTTATATTGAAATCATCATGCAAATAAAGTTTCATAGTTATGTTTGTCTTTAGTTTTACCTAATTACAGTTATTGAGTGTGTTAAAGATAAGTGGATTAGGTCTGGGAGTGGTGGTGCACACCGCAATCCCAGCTGCATCCTGCTGAGGCAGGAGGCTGGCAAGTTTGAGATCCTGTCTCAAGAAATAAAGTGGGCTGGGGATATAGCTCAGTGGTAGAGCACTTGTAAATATAGCATGTGCAAGGCCCAGGGTTCAGTCTCCAGTACCAAAAAAGGGGGGATGCTAAGTGGATTTCATTGAAACATGGCATGGTACCCCATAAATATACGTATCAGGAGGAAAAAGATGAGTAGGCTTAACTTTTAAGTACAGTACCCATTAAAGTTGAATTGCATCGCCTAGAGAGAGGTGACGGATTGAGGATTGTCTGAGAATAGAAACAAACCATGGATGTGTCCAGTTCTCGTGGAAGTAGGAACAGTATCTAACAGCTTAAGATGGAACTGTGCCTCCATTTGTTCTTTCAACAGCAAGTAGTACTACGGTTGTCTTTTGGGGGCTGTCTGTGTTGTTTCTCCTTGTGGGTCCCAGGTGTCAGATTACTAGGATTATGGTTCATAGTCCTCATCTAGTAATTGTTTATG